AATAACCAATAACCGTCAATAACTGTTCAATAACAGTCTAATACCCAATCACAAAAAAAAAACACTAACGAACAATGTAAAAAAAATACTAATAAAAAATCCACTAAGAATTAATTGTTTTTTATGAAGTGTTAGTAAATCAAAATGACTAAGAAATATGAATACAACAATATCCGAAAAAAATCTTAGCCAAAGTAAAACAAAAAAAAAAAAACAGTACAAATTATTGAGCAATCTTGTTACATTAACAACTAAATCAGTTTGCACCAGTGAATTCAGTGAAGTGATTTGGGGTTTAGAGATTTAGTCTCTTTCAGAACAAGACCTTGAGGATTAGGTCTTTAAAAGATTAGGTCTTTGATGGGTTAAGGTCTACAGCAAGGCTCATTGTTCATTTGCATGATTCAAGCTTCTTTTCATTCATGAAATATTGACCTCCAATTACATTGCTGGTTTCACCTGATTGGTTGAATATATTAGCTAAGCATGACTCAATCGTTTGTTAAAGTACAAATATGTGTGATACATTTTAAGTCACAAAAAATACCAAACGTGATTTTCTTTGTCAGTCTTCATGTAAGTATTTCTGGTTTCTTTTGGGTTTCTTTTAAAGTTAATTTACAATACTAACACCTTAACTAACAACAGGGGGTTTATAATTTAAAAAATTGATATTGAATTCATAGTCGCTTTTTTAAACGTTGGAATAAAAAAATATTCTTGCAAGGTGATGCTTAAGATTTAAGGATATCAGTAAATAAGATATCAGTAACAAGTCATCAAAACCCCAAACAATAAATCTGAATTTAAAACTTAGAAAGTTTTTTATTACATTAATTGTATTGCAAACAAGTGCCACTAGCTTAGAATAATGAAGTTGCCTTCTCATTTATATTGCCCAGGTGTGTTAAGTTCCCAAAGGGAATACAGGTGAAAGAGGATCTCATTCATGTTTAATGGTCTCTCTAAATTATTTCACTGTGTTCTAATTCATGGTAAAACAATATCTGTTGTAGATAGCAATAATGTGTCCTTTTATTATTTCACAGTAAAACCCCCTTTTGTTTAAAAAGAACAACCGTATTTTGCAGCAATACATTTGTCAATGGTTGAATTAAATGCAATTATTTGTATTGTATTTATACCTGTCAAATGCACTCAACAAGCGAAACTTTAACACGTAAATAAATCTACCTCATGTTAGTGATAGTCGTCAAAAGGTTACATTTAAAACCTTATAGTAGAGCTGCCCTAGCTTCATTGTAGCTATGATAACAGACAATCAAGTATTGTTTGGTCAGACAGTATTACAGTATATAGGCCTACACATGACAGAGCGTAGACATTGTATTGTGCTATGTAAACACTTTATGTAGAATCAACACTCCCCAGTTGTTGACTGTTTGCTAGAGCAGAATACCCAATCGTCTTTGGGTAGATTTTAGCTTCCTAGATAGTGTTTATAAAAGTCCACTCAACGTCTTATGATTGTCTGCTGAAGAAGATTTTACGTTAGCTCATTAGGTCAAATTAGGTCATAATGAAAGCATGTTGTCTCATATTTGTTTCTTGTTTTATAACAATCTCCAAAGAGTTTTAAATGAGTTTATAAATATTTAAAATATAACTTTTCCAATGGTATTACAAGCAAATTTTAAAGGTAGAATCGTTAGATCTACAAAGTGCTATCAAAAGTCGCAATAGCAATAGGAAACACTAATCTAATCTGGCATCTGATTTGACAATAGTAATTATTTAAGTATCCGCGTGTTGAAATGCTCGCATTCAAATTTGATGTTCACTGTTTCGCTTCCAAACGATATCGTAACTAGACCTAGATTTCGAGTTATTCCAATTTATAATTGGACTGTCAATATTAACGATGCTATGCTATCTAACAAAAGACCGACGTAAACATGACCAGGGCTTGGGCCGTTACCTTACGAAACTGTAAAAAATGCCACACGCGTAGTTGTTATACACTTAATTAAATGATCATAACATTTCAAATTAGTAACGTGATCTTATGGATGATTATAAAAAATGTGGACGTCAAAACTTTCTAGATTCGTAATCGGTTTTAAGCATGAAAGTTACTTTTATGTTGATTAGTTCTTGTTTTCCATATATGATTCATAATTATACACTCAAAATAATAAAAGAAACCCATATAATTAGCGTTAAATGCATAACAGTTAATACGAGTATAATAAGGAAACACGATTCGATGGACGGAAGGCGAAGTTATTAAATGGCTACAAAAATGCAGACTCATATGTTTGTGAGCAAATATTTGTTTTCCATTGATTAAACCAGGACAAACCCCACATTCATATCGGGGCTTCGGGTCCAATTATAGGGTGTGCGTGCGAATAGCCTAATGTTCATTGATAAGTTGTAAAAACAGCCTAATCGCAGAGAAACAGAATCGTCCGAGACCAAACTATCTACATTACCATTAGGTATGTTAATAGCAAATGGTGTCAGGGAGTAGATTTTGTGAAGATTATAATAAATTGTTCTTGTAATATTTTTGAAACTGTAAGTGTTAACATTGAGTTCGCTCGTCCACATGGGTCTCTGCCTTTTCCTTGGATGTATTAAACGAAACAAGGGTGAACTGTACTGATAAATGTTTGTGGTGAGATCAAGAAGCGAACCCATGACATCGCTGTCCTAAATCCGTCACGGCTAGGGCACTGACTCACCTTCCCAAATAGATGAACGTATTCATGAAACAGAATTCTGTACATGCAGTATATATATATATACAACGAGATAAACAAAATATATCAAATAATACATTTGATTCAGACAATCTATACAAAGTATGTTGTTGTTCTAACAGCACACCACGTTTTGTTGTTTAGATAAAACAATAAGATAAATATGGCAACATCCGTACAGGTTTCCCCCTTGTTTCGGAAGTGTTTGAAATCGAATGCAAGATAGCGAAAGTGAAATTGAAATGCGTCATGAATTACTCAACGAATTGTGAATACTGAATGGAAACCCCGAACCTCGTTTTAACTTTAAGATCGCTATCCTCACTATCGGTTTGAATAAACAAGGTTTTGTTTACAACTTATCTTACAGGACTTTGCTTCGATTGTGCGGTTAAATTTGTTCTTGTTGTTGTATTTTAAAGCTGTTAAAACAAAAAAGAACAATATATTTATACATTATTTTAGTCTTTTTACGGTATCACTGAAAAGGAAAACACAAATCGTAAAGTAATCTTTGAGAAATAAATATTTTGCCAACATCAGTGCTTTCAAACGTCACCAACATATAACACAAATTAACACAGGCTTTAGATTTTACAATCGACTTGAAAGTTGGTTTCCACTGTTTATTGTTAATGCCTCTAGTCTACTCACTATGTAATAAATTAATTGAGAATTAGGTCAACTTAGTAAAACTTACAATATAGACATTTTGGATGAGATTGTTCAGAACAGCTAAAGAGAGTAAATCCGAAGATTATTTAAGTAAAGTGGTACAACTTATTGTGTAGACTTATGGTTAAGTATGAAAGTACTACTCTAAGCTAACATAACAATAAAAAATCTGTACAAATATTCCCACCGACTAAATGACTAACAATCACTGCTCTTAACCTCTGAGATTTGTTTATAGCCACTATTCCAAAATATAATCAGCCAAAATATAATCAGCTGGTTGGTGTTCGGAAAAAAACTCTTTACAGTACAGTAGTGCGCAATGAAACCCCCATTTGATTAAGATGGCGGAAAACAGTTGTTTTCTGGACTAAATACTTGTGTGGGAAGTTCGTTAAAACAGTGTAGTGTGGCGTAAATGCTTTTATACTAGCTCTATAATAGTTTGCAGTCTCACAAAAGAAAAAAAATGGGATTGTTTGCTTAAACCCCCTCACTGTAATCTGTTCAAAGTTTTCAGTAGTGTGTGAACATGAGTAAGTATGTTAAATAACCAAAAATTATATTTTTGCAATTTAGAATTAAGAGGCTTTTAGCATCTGTTCGGTTGGGTTTAACGGTAAATTCAAACTGTGATTAGAAATCGTTTTAAACAAACCTTGCATATACGATGTACATGTTTTGGTACTTTTACTAGTGTATTACAAAGGTTCAAACTAATATTTGTATTTAAATGTTTGCACAGATAAAAGTAATCTTATTGTCAAGAATACTGCTACAAGTATCTAAAGAAAGAGCACGGGACTTCCAGTCTGGGGACCCGGGTTCAAATAGTGCCAATCGCCATATTTTAAACTAGGATCCAGCCTGTGAATTGTCTGTATTAGCATTGCAGAGTAGTTCTAGTTCAGTCTGAAATGAGGTCAATTTTTTTGTACTATTTCGCTAAAAGCATAAAGTAAAAACTGCTCGAACGATATTGATTAAAATTTGGCATGTAGGTCGATTTAACTCAAAACAAATTTTTAACTCACCAACAAAGGGCCGAATCACTCTACCATCAATTTCTTTTCATATGTTTTACGTAAATCGAAGTCTACTTTTAATTTCATAGAGAAAATAAAAAAAACTTTGGTCTATAATAAATCATACACTCTATCATGTATTACTGTAAAAGCATAAGATATTATAGTTACGATTAAAAAACACAACAACTTCAAAGCCATTCACTTTGTTTATCACTACAGAATGTGATCCAGTAATAAACTAATTTTTTTTTTAAATCAGGTAACATTATATAGTTTAAACTGACAGTTTTACGAGATTATTAGGAAAGTTGTCCAAAGGTCTTTCATTTCACAAGTAACGACTAGCAGACGATAGCATAAGGTCCAATTGCCCCACCATTTATTACCTAAAAATTAATTTTCAATTTATTTTATAAATTATCGTCCACTTTCACTTTTCTAAAAAAAATCAACACTTTCAAAAATCTTGGACACTTTTTATGCATCGACATAATGCATAAAAAATATGTCTTAAAAAAATAAACTTATAGTGTAGGTAATTAAATAATATATTTAGAAGGTCAAGACGTACCACCATGTTGCTCGTATCCTGTGGACTCGATGACGGACTCTACGCAACTGATGGGCTTACAGCTCTGTGACCTCAGCAGGCTCGGCGACCTTGAGAAAGATAACGGCCTTCAGAGGCTTCCCGTCCAAGCTATCACCGGCCACTGGCCACTGGCTAGAGCCTGCGACACACTTGACCAAAATGACAGTCTTGAACTGGTAATGTACCTCCATATCGGAGGACTCAAGGGTCTAGCCTACCGTTTCCACATTTCTTGAGATTAGGCCTCAAGGGTCTAGCCCACTGTATCTACATTTCTTGAGATTAGGCCTCAAGGGTCTAGCCCACCGTTTCCACATCTCTTGAGATTAGGCCTCAAGGGTCTAGCCCACCGTATCCACATTTCTTGAGATTAGGCCTCAAGGGTCTAGCTACCGTTTCCACATCTCTTGAGATTAGGCCTCAAGGGTCTAGCCCACCGTTTCCACATCTCTTGAGATTAGGCCTCAAGGGTCTAGCCCACCGTATCCACATTTCTTGAGATTAGGCCTCAAGGGTCTAGCTACCGTTTCCACATCTCTTGAGATTAGGCCTCAAGGGTCTAGCCCACCGTATCCACATTTCTTGAGATTAGGCATCAAGGGTCTAGCCCACCATTTCAACATTTCTTGAGACTAGGCCTAGAGAGTCGTGACACAAATCCGTTAGTGATTTGCGGGATTTTTTCCCGGTACCTTGGAGACTAAAGCCCCATTCTCTACCTCTTGACTAGCTTGATCACCTCCAATTACTTTGGGATTTGCCGTAACCCTAAGGTACGGACACAGCCTTACCCTGTATATAACACCTATTTTAGAAACAAGAACTCCTTCATGTTTACCTATATAGAAACCTATATAGATGTACCTTGACTTGCTTTATTTAAAGTAAAATGTATGTTAGGGTTGTTGCCCTATAGTTTTCTGCGACATACTTCACCAATATGACTGTCGAGGACGTATTGTATTGCTGAGATGTAGTCGATTGTACAAGTAAGAGTAGTCCACATTATTTGTTCAGTTGGTGTGGTTAGAGCAATTCAGTAGTAATTAGTAATTGGTAATTCAGTCCTGCAGTCACAGTTTCAAATCGCTTCAATTACCGTTTTTTTCGCCCACCTTCCCAACACAGGACGGGGCTCTAGAATATTTGTCACCTTTCTTCATAATATGCCCAGAAAATTACGGCAATTATCACTTCAAACTCAGGATTTGAGGCATTATTGTGATTGGCAGGAACCTGAGACCTCGGGGACTGATGGCCTGCGCTCTACCATTAGCTCTCTCTCCGTAACATTCTGAAATGAAATGAAATGAAATAATATTTTATTTCCCATTAATTATTCTGTATGGCTGAGATACATAGAGAACCATCTTGAACAGTTTACAGTATAGGTTTACATACGAACGGTTTTGAAGAGCGATTATAACTGTATAAATCCTTTAGGAAGTGATTATTGCGTGTATAGCGTTGTTTGAAAATTCATATATTATTATTGTAATGGAATTACTTATCCATATCACACCGCTGATACTTAAGCGTCCACGTTTAACTGATTTCTAACTACGGCGGATAGAAATAAGTTGTTATTTGAACAACATTATAATCCATTCTGCATCTGCTTAACATGTATAACTTCTAATTATTAGATTAATAAGACAACATATGTATTTACGAGACTAAATATACATCCCGAGGCTAACAATGTTTCCGGTCTTGCTTCTAAGACTCGTACATAATTGTAACATGAATATTTAGTTAAACATCTATGGAAACTCAATATACTCGTTCGTGTCAGCTTGACATTGCGGAATAAAGAAGCCAAAGAAACATAAATATTGTATTTCTAAACGTAATTGAAATATCAAATGCACCTCTTTACATTCGGAGCACTTACTGAAACTTTAGAAAGAAACACGATACGGAATTTTCTCTTTGAATACATAAAAGAGAAAATTGCATTTACAGGAAAAGTGTGTTGCAATGTTTACAAAAGCAATTGGCTCCATGTGAAAACTTACTTATGCAATAAATATTATTCATAAAGGAAAGAAGCACCAACGTTGTGTTAATACACATAGAGAATTGTTAATCCTATCGGACAACCAAGATATTTACCTAGAATTTATTACTTCATTGAATGTACTGGGGTTTGTCGAAGACAATAATATACAATATAACCGATAACAACAAACCTAGAAGCACTACTAGACGATTCATTGGTTTATTATTATCTATTATTATAACTTTTCTATTGGTTTATTATTATTAAGACATATTGGCTTATACTACTACACCAACCTTTCATAGTGTTATGTAGTCAATAAAACTCTCTATAGGTTTGAGTAGTATAATTTGTACGATATAAACCAATGATTATTTGGGCTCGGAACATTATGACATCGCTACATCTCGTTATTAAAATTAGTATCAATGCTTTGAGACGGTAGCTCACATTTGGGGGTATATTTTAAGCTGAATGCATAGATGAGTGTAGAACTCAAGTCAGATGATTGGTGTAGAGGTTTGTTACTTAATAAGATTAGCATTTCATAAGTCAGGGTCATTTATTAAAAGGTCAATGAACAAGGACAGCCGAGTCAAGTTTCGTTATTCAAAAACTTGAATATTTTCAACTGTTTGAATGAAATTGAAAAAAACTGCTAGGAATCTTAGTGACTGTTAAATGACTTCGTGCAATTAGTTTCTGGTGTACATAAGTTTAATTGAATACTTTAAGAGTTTACATTCAATTTAAAAAGAAAAATCCTGTCATTACACATTTTGATCGGTAAAAAGAAAACACTATTTTGTTTAGAATCGATTAGAAATTATATTTTGCATGAGAAATATTCCGGAGACTTTTACCGTCGGCACTTGTAAATTGCAATGGCAAATAAAATGTATTGCCAATAGACCCTGCTAAATCAGAGTATGTTTCAAATTACGATGATAAAAACAAACTTTAGTTAAAAATAGAATTGCTTTCCTGCATAAAACCAGATTTTATAAATTCATTTTTGTGATAAACAACAAAGAGCACGTCAAATATCATCCTTTAGAGGTAGATTTAAATGTCCTGGGTCCATATCTTGTCTCAGTGAATGGTTCCCTCGATTTATAACCCTAGACTGCTGTTTTGTTTTCCCTCAGGTCAAATAACTCCTTGTGAACATTTTCTCTCGTAACCTCCACTCCACATATTATGTTTACCTGCGTATGATTCGTAATAGTATTAGTGCAGCTATTCATTGTACGACGTAGTATGACAATTTAATAAAGACATTAAAAACATTGGATAAACATTTTGTTATAAAACGCTTTATAAATCGTTTTCGTCTAACTTACCAATTATAATTTACTAAAAACTGTTAGGGTATCATTAGTTTTCAGAAAAATGTATAATCAGAAACATTATCAAATTGTTCTGAATATGTTTACATTTAAAATCATATCGAAACAAACAGGTCTAAGTAATCTTTAAAATATAATTTTACAATTTGTTATTATTTATTTAACACTCATATTGTACTCGAATCTGTAATAGATTAGGATGTTAAAGATCGAAACACAGCAAAAATTAATCACAAAATGAATTTATATTTTTTCTTATGAATAAAAAATTTTATGTTTCTGAAACTATTTGTCTATAATTTTGGATCACAATTCTAAAACTTGTGTTGAGATAACATTCTTTACATAAGTCTTACCATACTAATATCTGTAAGAAATTCAAGACGTTTGCCAAATTAAGGTCTTTACAAAAATTAAAAATGAATAATTTACCTTACTCTCAACTCTATAGTTATGGAATTTTACAGCGTATAGAAGATTTCATTGATAGCTTCTGTTGATGTACAAAATCATGTTTTACATTACTTTGAATGAATAATAATTAAAAACATGTAGCATCCCCGTATGATTAAGTTATACAGATTTATTAGATTTATTATAAATCAATGCGATAAAAAATACTGTTGTTTAAATAGAACAAGGTTATACGGATGTTGTTATGAAAGTTATCGAAGTCTTTCAACTGGAAACCACTTTCCATATGATTGCCTTTCAAAGATATGTCTTTATTGGTGATTTCTCCAAGAAATCATGCTTGTTGTTTGTGGCTTCTTTTAAACGGTATTATGTTAGTTTTTTAGACATCATGTAAACATTTTTTTATATGAATATGAGTGCATTTTTTTAACCGCACGATAAACTGAAATAATATTCATTAGTAAAAATGTATTACTGTATTTCAAAGTTTTTAAAATGGCTTGTAAATTTATTCAATCGTCACAGCAACCTTTTACATTAAAATAGATATATGTATATATATTTTAACAGTTGTTCTAAACGGTTAGTATACATAAAATCATTTGAATCATCCTAAATTTGTGTTATTTATAAAAAAATTATAGATTTACAATAAAATGGCACACTGGACCAATAAAATTATTTTTAAACCTATAATTGTATTGGTTAATTACTCTATAAATGTCTTCATAAAATGCCAAACAAAAAAATGTTTTCCCGTAAAAGAGTTAATTATCAGCTAAATATTTTTTAACGTTTGCACTTGGGCAAATAATCCCAAACCTGTTGTTATTTTTTATAAGCTCATCATTCTTAGTGACCTCCTTTTTTCGAGCAAATAAGACGTTTAGAACTTCATATTATGTAGTCTTTAAAAAAATCCTTAATGGAATTCATACTGATCAATACGTGTTTTAATGGTCCCCAAAAGTAGTAACTAGTTTAATAATTACCCAGAGATAATTGTTTTACCAATATAAATTGATACGATATTTCACTATTTTGTATACAAGGAAATTGATGCGCCTTAAACTCGGAATTGTAACTATAAACGATTTTCCAAATTAAACAAAGAAGTAAGCTTATTCAAACTTAGTCTAACAAAGGATTTATAACTCAAACTACAGCGTTTAGCACTTAAATGAGTTGCTTGACAATGCTGCACTTAATTGAACAAAACACTAGTGGAGTATTTAATAGTTCCCTGTGAGGAAATACGTGTTACAAGGCTGT